CTTCTCTCCCTGCTGTATGGCACCCAAGTCAAGACTTGTCTTCTTTACAGGGATATTCATTGAGAAGTTTGACGCGAACAGGTATGCCAGCGTCTTAATGTTATTGATGCATCTTGCTTGCAGGTTGCCGAACCATAGCTTGGCGACGCCCTTCAATGTGGCTGGGAAACATCTACACTAAGTAGCATCATCCAACCCTTGTAGATACATAAGGTTGGTGTATGCCATCAGGTGGTCTTCTGGGTTGGAGGTACCATCATAAGTGCCTACCAACACATTCTTCACCTTGACCGACTGTGTGGCCTCTGTTATTTCCTTAGAGAAAGCTAAAGGCTGTTCCCCAAGTTTGAGCAGTCGGAGCTGCCAATCCAAAGGCTGGATATTGGGTGACGCCTGTCCCTTGAAGAGGGTAGGCTGCATGTAATGTGGTCCATACGGCATGTATGGTTGTTGAGGCACATACGGAGCCCCTTGGAACATCTGAGGACTAGAATGGGCGGACAAGCCACCTGTCTGGTCTTCATGGTTTGAATGAGAATACCTCAGCGAGGCATTTTGAAAACTGTCATTGAAGTTCGACGTGGAGGCCGACTCTGACAGCTGCATATTCTTCTTTTGCTGGATTATCATCCGAGCATCGGAATATGTTTTCTTAGAACCATCCGGCTATATATGCCGAATGGCCTTCCTTTGCCCTGTCTCAAGGAACCGTAGTCTAGCCAGGTTTATCAAAGGCTTACGCCCCTGTCCTTGTTTAGGGTAAGGAGTGGCCTCTCGGTCTTTGACCAGCTTCTTCCTCCCAGAATAAGAGGGTTTCTTGGCCGACTGTTCCTTGGTAGGGACAGCCGTCCGTTTATCAATAAGATCCTTTATCTCCCCTTTGAAATTTGCCATGAGGGTTATGAGCTCATTTCTAGTGATGGGGGTGGATCCTTCGGCCGCCTGCGGCTGACCTGACGGCTGGCCGACTGTTTCACTAGGGCCTGCCTGGTCAGTGTTCCGTTCCCTCCTTTCGGTGGGACAGATGCGCCGTGTCCTAAGGGACTCGTCAGGGGCCGTATGGGTAGCAACTTCATAGTTGTCATCCGTATCTTGGTCTGAGAAGACCTGGACGTCGGCCATAGGCCAATTCTCATTAAGAGGTGGAACAGGTTCTTGTGAAGTCATCTTTGAAGTACTCTCCCCACAGACGGCGCCAAATGTTTTGGGGTTTATTATGTCCTTTGGGAGAATTACAATTCCAAGACTAACCTCTGGACGCCTGTACCTGCAAAACAACGGACACTCCGGTGGGTGGGAGCTCCGCCTCCGACGATCAAGTTAGAACTTGTATGAGGAGTAAAATGTTGAAAGAAAAGAGTCTCTCTCGGATTCCAAGAGAGGATCTGCAATGTATAATTGCTTGGTTTGGGGTGTCAGGTGTCTGACTTTCTCTGATGTAGTGTTAATGGGTTTAGAATATTTCTGAATAGATGTTCCCAGGAGGGAAACATCTCCCATTTATAGGGTGTTGGAAAACGTGCCCAAAACTAGGTTTTAGTAAACCTAGGGCTAATTGGGCTTTGCCTGGAACTTTGGGTCGTAGAAGGCCACTTGCTTAGTTGGCAATTCAGCCTACCACGTGTCGTGACCGGATTGGTCCACCTTGGACCTCCCACGAGGTGACACGTGGCGGCTCTGATTGGTCCACGTGGATGACACGTGGCAAGATATCATTGGTCCACATGGTGGGGAAAAATCCCCTAATCATCTTCAATAAAAATAATAATTCACAAGAATTAAATTAAAGAGTTAGAGAAATTAATATCATCCTCGGGATTATACCTTCACGCCTTGGTAAAAAAGGTAGAACCTTCGGATATTGTGTTTGGAATTTGAATTACTTGAATAAGATTATAAATAAAGCTAAGAACAATAGAAATTGTACATCGAAGCTTTAAGTCTAAACCTTTTGGGATGATTTGGGATTGATAAAATACTTTATGGTTGTCAAATTCTCCTCCTCCAAAAAATCAGAAATAATGGTGGTATTTATAGGCATAAAATCGAGTGAAGATAGATTTTTGAAAGAAGATAGATTTTCGAAAACGCGTAGCGAGGCGCAGCTGTTTTGAGGTTTTTGTTTTTATCAACACTTTTGATCCAGAAATTGAAATAAGATAAATAATTTATTGTTGGAAAGCTCAAGAATTCTACTTTCCAAAAAAATTAGAATCAGATTGATATCTTTTGTAGAATTTGAGATATGAACAAAATAGTGGAACGGTGACAGTTTTGAATAGAATTTGGTATTTTATTCATATCTTTTTCGTTTCTAATCGGATTTGGGCTTATGATATATCATTGGAAAGATTATTTCAAGAGCTATCCAAACATTTAATATTTGGATAAAAATTATGAGGCACAAAATTCAATTGTGACCGGTTTTGGGACTAAAGTCGTGAAAAGGGAAAATGGGCTATGTTTGGGCTAACGAAATGGATAAAATGGCTTTAAAAATAATTTTGGGCTAGAAAAAAAGGACTATTTAAGTAATTCTTAAACCCGTTATGCGAATCGGATCAAATTAGGCAATGAGAGGTTGTTCGTCATCGAGCTTTAGTCGAGGAGACATTTTTAGGTATCTACACAATGTAATTCAAGAAATTTTTAGAAGTCTATTCAGTGTTTATGTTAGGTACACTACTCATACTCTGTTTCCACTGATCTAAAACATCTTGTATATCTCTTATCCACCTAATTTTAGTTTATAACCAGTTTGGCTAATAGGTTCAAGAGTTACTTCTTCTTGCTTATGTATTTGAGTTGGCATAACCTTGACACTAAATCAGGTAGTCTTCCCTGGTATGTATCTTGGTCGTGTACAACTTCCTTCTCCTTGATACCCGAGGTTGTTGGATAACATTGTTTATGTTATTTATAATAAAAATAACAAAAATGATACCTCGAAAACAATATTGAATAAACATATAACGATATTTATTTTATAATAGCAGTTTTAAACTTAAAATAACTGTATCAAAATAGCAAATGATATTTTTCCAACACTTAGCGAAAAAAAAAAATCAGCTTTGGTATGGACCTTTGAAGTCCATACCTGGTAGTGGGCTATACTTACTCTAGGCTGGATTAGGTTGTTGATAGAGTATAAAACATATTTCTAGGCGGCTAGGCCTCTACTTAACCTTTTGGTTGAATTGGTCTACTAACATGTCATCGGCTTATGTTTTTTATTGAGTTGGTCCACTAACATGGTATTAGAGTCAGTGTGTCATAAAGGTCACGAGTTCGAATCTCATCCAACCCACCTTTCAAAGTGGAATATTAAGCGTTGGGTATGAAGAGGGTCCATGCCAACTGCATCCACACTTCCTAGGCCTCAACCATCAGTTTAAACTTTTGGTTGAAATATTCCACTTTGTAGGAGGGTTGTATGAGATTTGAATCCGTGAACTTTGTGTCACGCTAGCTTTGACACTATGTTAGAGTACCATCTCAACCAAAAGGATAAGCTGATTGTTGAGGATCGGGAATATGTTTTATACTCTATCAGTTGTGCCTAGGCATATATAAGTTGCCCATTTTGGGTCAAAGCTTCGAGCCAATAAATTTGTGCTCGTACTCGCTTTGCCGGGCAAAAAACAACAGGCTTATGGAATTTTCAAAAGTATTGTATTTTTACGAAATAAGGGTGTAATTTTTGCATCAATAAAATTGCATTTTTTTTATTTATTTTTTTCTTTTTTATAAATTTTGGTGTGTTTCACTAATTGCTTTCAACAACTTGATCTTATGGTCTACTGAACTCTTAAGATGTACTGAGTACTTCGTAATTTGTATACCCATTTTCAATTTCCCTTTCTTCTTCCCCCCCCCCCCCCCCCACCTCTCCTCCTCCTCCTCCTCCACTGAAGAGTATCGAAACTATATTTTGGGGAGTGGTGATCTGTGTTCATACTAAAGTGGGCTCTTCTAGCCAGTAAGTTTTACAAATTAGGACCATGTAGCACTTTCTTGTCTGAAGCTATTTCTCTTAGAAATGGATTATTGTAGCCAAATCCCTGAACAATGTCAATATTATTATTAAAGGTGATAATTTAATGATTATACTATCTTCGTTTCATATTATGTGCATTATTTTCCAAAATTGAATGTTATACTAGAGGCATACCTATATCTAAACAAAGCTTACATGGGGCTTGCCATATAGTTTCTCTCTTTATTCATTTATTTTTTTAACATGCAACACTTTTCATTTTACGCTGGTCAAAGCATTAATTCGTTCTGTAAAATCTTTAATTACATGTATGCAATAATCATAAATATTTGTAATAATGAAAGCATAAGACAAGATGATTCTAACCAACCATATCCCACATGAATATAATTTTCCTTACATATAAATCATCAAAACTATTCAAAGTGAATTATATTGCAGGTAAAAAAAGAGAAACCAAAGGATTCGAGCACAAGACCATACATAGAAACAATCATCGAACATATATTGAACATTAAAGGTGTCAATCCGGGTGTCCGGATCAGACTTGGTTAGGTCAGGTCAAGTCAGATTTATTTTTAAAATTGAGTCAAGCTAAATTATTGTGTTTACACGAGTCAAAATTTGAATCAAATATTTTTCAAATTGGTTTCGGATCAGGTCAGATCAAGTGTGATTTTGACACTTTTAATTGAACATTGTTCAATTGAAAATAAATCCACCATCATGGAAAATCTTTGATTCGTAGACCGATGCAAAGGAGTCATATGAGTTTTCAAGTGGCCTCAAAGAGAACTGCTTGGTGGCACCTCTTAAAATTAACTAGATTATGCTCTTTTAGTGTGAATTGCACATAATTTATAGCTAGCAATGATGGCATATGATAGTTTAACTATTCTGTGATTGTCTAACAATCTATGGACCGGATCTATGGTTCAGTTCATTTTAACTTGTGATAGTCAAACAATATATGGCTCACGGGCCTAAACGTTTAAAAACGATCTATCAATCCAATTTTCTCGTAGCATAAGATGATACGAAGTATTAATTACCTAAAAAGTATCTGAACAAAATTCAAAACTTTCATAACCATAACCACTTCCAAGACCTGTGCAAAAATCACAATATCACTAGAGAAAATGGATAAAAGCTAGAAAATACAAGTGGACATACAATGCCAGTAAATACAAATGGTAATACAATGCACGGAGACAATAAAAAGCTCGAATCCTGCATCTAGTAGAAGAGAAGCCAACAAATGATGTTTCATCTATCAGTGTTTGGAATTGAGAGGCTGCTTTCAAGCATGAATGATAAATCGTGCATCTCAGAAATCAAAGTCTCTGCAACAGGGGACTTCAGATCCAATGCTTCCTTGAAGGTACTCTCACTCGGGTTCATTCCATTGACATCAGCCTTAACATCACCATGTTCAGTCCTACAAAGTAGAAAAATGAAATGGATTAGCTGCACACTACTTATCGATTCCAATAAATTTAATACAACTAAATTAATGCCAAGTGCCAACACTGACATTGGTTCATGATTAAAATAGACGTTGACACTCAACTAAAGTTTGAAGTATAGACCAAGACTGACCTTAATAGATAGCTAGCAGACATTAATAGTGTCAATTATCTTTACACAAATTTATCTAACGACAATAAAACTATCCCTACCTCATGAATTATTTTTACTAAGATACACTAATATACCTAGCTGTCTCCTACCCAATCTCTCTACACTACTCTATTTAACTGGTGACGATATGATTTTGTTACATCAAACGGACTTCACAAAAGCTAGGGTGGTGATATGGAATCAACTGGACCTAAACTAACGAATTTGAACAAATGATTCAAATACTAAACCAAACTAGATACGCCAGATTGGGCGAATAAGCTTATCACCTACTCTCATAAGTTTTATCACAGAACTTTGAACTTTATTAATCTCAATCACGAACTCATAAAAGAGCCCTTTATGTAAGCATATTAATCTATGTTAACTAGGTTTCCTAAATAAGATAAATCGCAATCTTTTTGGTCACATATAAAATCCTATTTTTAAGGAATAAGCAAAACCATGAAGCTTTCCTAAAATCTGCCCTATAAAAATATAACCCTAGGTCCCTTATAACTTAAGCTCACATTTATTTGATAAAAATAAACTAAATATTTTAATAATATCTTAAATATCCTTGATATCCATACCAGGTAATACGTTAAAAATAGCCATAATGAATGTATAAAAAGGCTCAAGGCGCACCAAGGCGTTTAAGAGTCCCTTGTGCCTAAGGCGCAATGAGCCTCGGTGCAAGGCGTATATAATAAACACTAGTAGAAAATTCTGAAAAAAAAAAAAAAAAATTCTTTGTGTGCCACAGTGCTCCTTAAGCTGCGTATTGGTGCGCCTCATCAAAATTGCCTCACCTAGACCACAAAAAGCGCATGACCCCTAACGCCCCTAACGCCTTGCGCCTTAGGCGTACCTTTTCAAACACTGGCCATAATATATCTTTTTTTTCTCTAGAACAGATTTAAGCGTAGAAATATGGAACAACCATCATAATAGATTAATAGGAATCATATACTCTAAAAGCAATATATAGCATTTAATTAAAAATCCCTCAATCCTATAATCATTAGTTTCTGTCTAGCCCTAGCAAAGCATTTCCTAAGAACCATTAGCAGCTTTAATTTCTCAACAATATTATCACCTTCATTTGACACAAAACAAAGAGATTCAATGAAGTAAAAATTGTTACAATAGTGACAAGTTTGGTGCCAGTACATCCATTCCCAAACGGAATCCTAGATTTATCTTACATTAGATACATTAAAAAAACAAATGGGAGTGTGTAAAACATAGTAGCAAAATGATGCATGTTAGTTCCAATTTTTCCTTGATCAGGGCCGTCTTAAACATTTTAGAGGCCCTTTTCTAGTTTTAGAAATTGGGCCCTTACTAAAATGCGATTTTAGAATTATTTCAAAATGGTCATATTGCAACAACCAAGGGTTTGTGGTGTCTAACCACATATAAGAATTAGTGTAGCAACAATATTTTATGAGCCACCAAACTAAAATGTAAATTGAAAATAGGGTAAAAAAATAAAAAAAAATAAAAAAAAAAGAAGAAAATCGGGACAAAATCACCCTGATTATACTATGATATGGCTAAATATACGAAGTATAACTTTAAAAGTGCTAAATTCCATTTTATTAACATCTACTGATTCTATGTAATTTATACCTTAAAAAAACTAACGATTAGCAAATGCATACAAATAAAAAAATGAAGAGAATCAATCAAACACAAACGCAACATTACCTAATGAATGCCACCTCCTTGCTTGAATTCCCAACAACCGAAATTTCCAAAAGCATTGGAGCCAAGATTGAAAGCAAGGTATATGAATTTTCATTTTTTTTTTTCTCAAAAAATTATCGACAGTGAATTGAAATTGGGTAGATTTATAAATATAAAAGGAATTAAAATGTTAATTATTTGGCAAGGTGATTAAATTTTGGAGAAACTGAATTTTAATCCTCCCGGAATCTTTCCACATACATATTAATAATAAATTACATTAAGAAATTAATAATAAATAAATTCTTTTACGGGAATTGCAATTGCAAACGGGGAGAGAGAATAATTAAGGATCTTGAGAAGTTAAATTATACAATAATTATTGCTGGTTTATTATGGTGATCGAGTATTCGAGTGAGAAAGGAACTAGAATAATCAACTGGGCTTCTGCATTTCAGGGCCCTAAAATCATGGAGGCCCTGTGCAAAGGTCCTTAGACGCCCCTGCCCTTGTTGCTTAAGAATTGTTACTTTCTTCGATTTGATTGTTTATACTACCCTGTTCACAAAAGTTATTTATGCCTTTTGTTTTAGTCTGTTCCTGAAAATCTTTACACTTTTACATTATTCCAGTTTTGGAAACATCTTTCTGCTCATTCTCTCATACTTTCTCAAACATTTTCTTTTACCACCCACCTTTTTACACACTTAATTTTTCCAGCTTTTTATTATAGCCACCCACCTTTTTACACTCTGTCTTAATTTTATCACCTTTTTTTTTATTACACCCATCCACCTTTTTAGTTTTTACACTCTTTCCTACTTTATCGACCTTTTTCCATACACCATACACCCACTCACTTCATCAACACTCTATCACTATTTATATTGATTTTTTTTTTTTAATTTATTTATACTGAATTATGTACAAATAATAGCAGTAAAGAACTTTTGAGAATGGAGGTAGTACTTTTCCTATTGAATTTACCTTTATTTAATTATGACAATATCAATAAATAAATAAATTTATTGTAACTGGATTTTGCCCTAATCTTATACCACCTATGCTTCCAAATGATTGCACCATTTGGAGTTTGGCCACTTTTTACATGTTTAACTTTGATCATAATCCTCTACTAATATATATAAATAAATGTTATTAGGTAAAATACTATTGGAATTTTCCCAATGTATATATCTTTAATATATCGATTATATATTATTAGAAGAGCACTAAATTTTCCCCTTTTTATCTATAAATATGTGGCTGCATAATGTAGAAAACAAGAATTGTAGGATTGTCGATTTTTTAAATTTCAATTATATTTATTTAGTGATAGGTATAGCTTATGCTTTGTTCTATATTCAATTATGTTATTGATTAGTGACAATTATGTCACTTTTAGGGGTGCTTTTAAAATAGTTTTCCGGCTTATTTTCCAATAATTTAGCTCGTTTTAATCTTTATATCTATTATTTTCTTATTTTCATTATTTATCTCTTATTAAGAGCGTTCACATAAATGTTAATAGTTTTTAATTTATTTTCGTAGTTTATTTTAAACTTCCTCCATTTCTTTTTAGTTAACACGTTTCTTTAGTCACGTTTGCCAATACACAAATTCAATCATTAATATCTTTAATTACCGTAAAAATTATGAAAAGTTGATATTTGAAAATATATATCGTGACGAATCTAACAAGATCTCACATGACTATATTTTTCATTACGTATAAAGCACAAAACACGGTCAAAGGGGAGGGTTTGAATAGTTCTAAAGTCAAAACGTGTCAACTAAAAAAAACGGAGGTAGTATTTCTTATGTTTTTAGTTTTGGTTTATATGATTCCTCGCTATTCTCTACTTTCTTATGTAATTCCTTTTAGTATTTAGTTTATTTTATGCTTTTATTTTATTTTACTTTGTTTTATTTTACATTTTATTTTAGTTTTAGTCCCAACTTCTCTCCTCGGTTATCTTGGTTTGTGCAGGTGATTGTCGAGGCACGTGATTCAATTTAAAGTCATGTTCGGAGCTTCGGTCGGAATAAACAACTGGCACGTCAAACTCCTTGCACAAACAAGGCTCCTACCTGCTGCTCATTATCCTACACCCCACTATCACCTAATCCTCCACCACAACACCAGCTCACCCACCAAAAACCAACCCACAAACCAAAACACAGCAGCGCCACCAACCCACCTTTCAAAGACAACTATACCAGCAGCCCCGCCTTCCAAAGTCACCAAAACGCACCACCTGCTCTCCCTCTCGTGAGTAACAGCCCACAAAGCTGCTTCCGCACCATATCTACACCACTGCTTCCGCCGCACACAACAATAACAGCCGCCAGCAATTCAACACCAAAAATCACATAAATTTACGCCCAAATCAGCCAAAGAATCAGTAGCCTTCGAGCGGGCACTCTATTTTTTTGGAAGGGCGCTCCAATACCAAATTAAACAATCCATTTCAAGACAAAAGGCTGAGTGGCCGCTCCGACGGGTTGCGCGGCAGCTCCAATTTTCACTGCTTAATTTGTACGGATTAATGATTTTCGACGGCCGCGAATTATTTTTATCCATATCAAAGGGTCCTGATTGCCGTGCGAATTGATTAATGTTGTTTCGTGAAATGGGGATGATGATTGGAGAAGGGGAGTAAAAAGAAGAAACAGGGGAGGGGTCTGATTTTGGGGGAGATTTTTATTTTTACTTCCTTTTTTTTTTCTCCTTTTGTTTTTCTTTTTATTTTCTTTTACTTATTTCTTTTATTTATCTTTAATAAGTTTTATTTCGTTTATGGAGGTTGTAATATAAATACCCTTTTTCGGGATTTTATTAGGACCAACTTTTAATCACCCTAGATTGGGATTAGTTAAGGCCTCTCTTTTATTTTCCCTCTCTTAGGTCAATGGGATAAGCTTAGGGTTTTTAGAGAGAGAAAGTGAGAAAAATCAAAGAAAGATGGAAGCTTAGGAAAATTGTTTGGTGACAAAATCAATTTGAAGAAACCTCCATTAATCAATAAGCATTCTTACTCTCTCTACTCTTATTTATTGCTTTTATTTACTTGCTTTCATTAGTTTAATCCTTTCTTTCAGCTTGTTAATTGTTTTGTTAATTAG